TTTAGTGTCCTGTGCCGACTGTTCCCTGGCCATGAAAGATTGCCCAGTCTGCAGGAAGAACGTGCGAGGTGTTGTTCGGGCCTTTCTTTCTGTTTCTTTAGACTGAATACAATAAAAATCATTTTAAAATATTTATTTAACTATTTCTTTATCAACACCGTGTGAGAGTGGAATGCTTCAGTGGGAGATATACCAGAACCAAAAATCTATTAGCAAACATACAACCAAATAAAGCATCAGGACTTGACTAAGTATTCCAGCTGAATAACTTAAAAAACTAAGCAGCAAGCATCAGGGTTCGAAATACTTTTTAGTGATCACTGAATCAAGGTAGAGTACCTACAGACTACCTAAAGACTGGAAAGAAGCTAGTGTGTCATTCCAAGATAAATCTAATCTGGGAAACTACAGACCAGCATCTTTGATTTAGTTGTAAGAGATGATAAATTCTTAAAGGATTATTAAAAACAAAGATAAAAATGGGTCATTGTAAACAGAGGGATAACGAAAGCATGAAACAAAAAAAATAGAGCCTTCAAAAAAACTTGTTCATATAGCAAAGCAAAACAGCAATTAATCCTTAAGACATTAGCTCAATAAAAAAAGAAACTTTCATTTTATTTCTGAGAAAGTAAGAGTATATGTACTACATAAACACATGTCTGAGAAAGTAAGAGTATATTTACTATATCAACACATGTCTGAGAAAGTAAGAGTATATTTACTATATCAACACATGTCTGAGAAAGTAAGAGTACCACAGTAACACATGTCTAAGAAAGTAAGAGTACTATAGAAACACATGTCTAAGAAAGTAAGAGTACTATAGAAACACATGCCTAAGAAAGTAAGAGTACTATAGAAACACATGCCTAAGAAAGTAAGAGTACTATAGAAACACATGCCTAAGAAAGTAAGAGTACTATAGAAACACATGTCTAAGAAAGTAAGAGTACTATAGAAACACATGTCTAAGAAAGTAAGAGTACTATAGAAACACATGTCTAAGAAAGTAAGAGTACTATAGAAACACATGTCTAAGAAAGTAAGAGTACTATAGAAACACATGTCTAAGAAAGTAAGAGTACTACAGTAACACATGTCTGAGAAAGAAGAGTCTGAAAAAAGTAAGAGTACATGTATTATATAAACATATGCCTAAGAAAGTAAGAGTAAATGTACTATATAAACACATGTCTAAGAAAGAAGAGTGCATGTACCATATAAACACATCTGAGAAAGTAAGAGTACTATAGAAACACATGTCTGAGAAAGTAAGAGTACATGTACTATATAAGCACAAGTGTAAGAAAGTATGAGTACTATATAAACACATGTCTGAGAAAGTAAGAGTAAATGTACTATATAAACACATGCCTAAGAAAGTAAGAGTAAATGTACTATATAAACACATGTCTGAGAAAGTAAATGTACTATATAAACACATGTCTGAGAAAGTAAGAGTACTATATAAACACATGTCTGGAAAGTAAGAGTACTATATAAACACATGATAAGAAAGTAAGAGTAAATGTACTATATAAGCACATGTCTGAGAAAGTAAGAGTACTATATAAACACATGTCTAAGAAAGTAAGAGTACTACAGAAACACATGTCTGAGAAAGTAAGAGTACTATATACACACATGTTGAAGAAAGTAAGAGTACTATAGAAACACATGTCTGAGAAAGTAAGAGTACATATTTTATATAAACACATGTCAGAGAAAGTAAGAAGGGAGAAAAATATGATCTCTGGAATAAGAGGCCAGTATCACTCACCAGCAGGACATGTAAAACACTAGAACTTATTATATGTAACAACATCATAAATCACTTAGATAAACAGAATGTCCTGACTTCAGGAAATATAGGCAAATGGTTCATTACATTAATAGATTCAGGATTTTCTAATAGGAAGAGAACAAACAGTAATAATAAATGGCTTTAAATAAACACCAATAATAGTAAACTCTGTTGTAACTCAAGGAACAGTCTTAGGCCCTCTACAGTTTCTAATTTACATAATAGATCTACCAACAAAGTCAGATTATTTACAGACAATTGCATAATATTTAGAACAATAAAATTACAGAAATGGGAATCAAATTAGAGTATGCCTTTCCACCCAGAAAAATTTCAGTTATTAAGCACAACAAAAAAACTAAAGCAAAAACTACTTACTTTATTCATGGTAAACCAGTCATACAGACTAAAAACTCAAAATAACTAGGTGTAATAAGAAATGAAATGTTATCATGGAATCTTCATATTGATGAAATTATTAAAAAAATCAAGCTAGACACAAGGGTTAAAAGAAATTTTTACAAAGCAAGCAAGAACATACAAGTAAAATACTATTTAACTTTAGTTAGGATAATATTAGAATATGCATCCTCTGTTTGGAATTCTTCAACTCAAGAAAACATAAAGAAACTAGAACAAATACAAAATAGAGCAGAGAGATTAATACCAAACTAATATTCCAATTGGATTAGAGTAACACCATTAGAAAAGTCACTAAACTTAGAGACAAATGCATAGGACATAATTATCTTCTTTTTTGAAGTAATATTTGTAATAAATAAGATAAGAGTACTAGAAACAGTAACAATTCACCCTTTACAAGAAAAAAAGAAATGCAAAGACATTTGGGAATTATATAATTCTTCACTTGGTCTACGTACCTTGCTGTTTAAATGAATCAGGCTTCTTAAAGTTTCAATGAAACTTCCATGTGTAACACTGTACATAAAAATAGTTCCTTCACGAAAAAAAACAAAACATCAGTATTTCTCTTTCTTTATTGTCAGCCTAGACTAGGTTTGGTATACCTGTATTACATTTCTAAAAAGAAACATGTTTCTGACACTTTCATAGAATTATGTTTGTATAGCAATCAAATAATTTGTTTAGATTTGACTTCTGAATCTGTAGTATCATATACGATATTTGGTTCTCTAAAATCTAATTAGGTCAAAGTTGGGTCAGCACTGACAGATACAAAAATACTTTCTATGTCTTGTTAGTCTAGTCAAATGACAAAAAGACAGAAAAGAAAAAACCCGTGGAATGTTTTATTCTTGTCTGGACTGGGAAAGAAAGTCTATAGTCTGATTTTCACTAGGCTTGCTAAAGACCATTTTATTATCTTATCTTACATAATACAGACGTTACTTCAAAAAAGAAGATGATTACGTCCTACGCGTCATGCATTTAGTCATGCATATTAACCAATGACTTAAATTCTGCCAAGTCACTGGTTTTCCTGGCTAGCTCAGGCAACCCGTTCCATGCTCTAATAGCACTAGGGAATAAGGAGTATTTGTACAAATTTGTCCTATCATATGGGATGAGGAATGTGCCTTTATCTTTGTGTCTTTCAGAGTATTTTATTAAATTGTGTTTTTGTATTTGAAGATTATGGCTCAGTGTTTTATGTATAATTGCTACTTTACTTTTGAGTCTTCTGTCCTGAAGGCTTTCTAAATTTAGTGATTTTACTATAGGTGTTACTCTAGTCAAATGTGAATATTCATTTGTTATGAATCTCACTGCTCTTTTTTGTGTCTGTTCCAGTTTCTTAATGTTTTCTTGAGTTGAGGGGTCCCAAACGGAGTTATGCATATTCTATTATTGGCCTAACCAAGGTTAAATAACATTTTAGTTTTATGTTCTTATTTGATTTATAGAAATTTCTTTTAATAAATCCTAATGCTTTGTTTGAATTTTTATAGTTTCATAATAATGGGGATTCCATGACAGTTTTTCATTTATTATAACACCTAGGTATTTTGCATTTTTAGTCTGTGTTACTGGTTTGCCATGAATAAGATAAGTGGAATTAATTTGTTTTAGTTTTTTTGTTACTCTTAATACTGACATTTTTCTGGGTGGAAAGACATTTAGATTTAGAGCCATTTATTATTACAGTTTGTTCTCTCCCTATCAGAAAATCTTTAATCCACTGATGTAGTGGACCATTAATGCCAAAATATTTTTATTTCTTAAGCACACTATGGTGGTGAACTTTGTCAAAAGCCTTAGAAAAATCTAGTAAGATAGCATCTATTTGTTCACTATCATCTAAACCTTTAGAAAAATCATCAATTAGTCCTATTAGTTGTGTTTCACATGATCTATATTTCCTAAAGCCATGTTGGTATGGTGTGAGGACATTTTGTTTGTCTAAGTGGTTTATGATATTTCTACATATTATGTGTTCTAGGATTTTACATGTGATGCTGGTAAGTAATACTGGTCTGTAGTTTCCTGGGTCAGATTTTTCTCCTTTTTTTAAATAGGGGGGTGACATTAGCTTCTTTCCAGTCCTTTGGTACTCTGCCCTGGTTAAGTGAAGCCTGAAAGAGTATTTTGAACATTGGGGCTAGCTCATTGCTTAGTTCTTTGAGTAATCTAGCTGGAATACCATCAGGTCCAGACGCTTTATTTGGTTTGGTGTTGGCTAATAGATTTTGAATTCCATTGTATTGATATCTTTTACAGGACCTTGAAAGAGGGGGATTTTATAACCCACTTTATAATTCTGAGTATATTCTGTTGAACTTGGTCTTATTTGAGTTCAGAATCATTATGCAGGGTAGGGTGTTGGGGTCTGATGTGGATAGCGTTTTACTCAGGATAATTGATTCGTTAGGTTAGTTTAAAAGAAATGAGAGTATTAGGAAATGGAAAGAGAGAATGCAAACAACACAAAGAAAACACTAACACATAGAGGGCCATTGATTGACTGAGCGGGGAGGGGGGGGGCCTGAGGATGGCAGCACAAAACACTTCTACAAAGGTGAAGGATAGACAAATCTGCAAGATATTTGCTCACCAGTGCCAGTTACCTTTTGCTTTGAATGTATACGCAGGAACAAAATAGTGTTAGCATCTTCACTTGGTTACTAGAATAAAGATTAGGTAAGATCTTAAAGATAAAATGATTATCTTAAGTTAGATTAGCATGTATTGATCTAGCATTTCAAACAAACAAAAATACCAATATTTCTTTATTGAAGATAGAAATAATGCACAACATTATACAGGAGAAAGACAATTATGTAAGGTCAACAGCTATGGTTACCTAGATACTTATAGCCAAGAGGCTATTAATAATCTCTGAAACCTTAAATCACAAGTGATCATGTGAGTAAAATAAAAGTTAAAGGCATTAATTCACATCCTATTCTCTACAGACCCAATCACTAATTTTAATGCAAATGAAAACATTATTTATAATTAAAAATAAAAAAAACATTTTCTTTTGAGCTGGCTGGCATTCATCTCCTCTATAGGTGCCACTTGCCCTTTAGTGAATGTCAAAAAGACTTGCTCCAGTGTGGTCTGGTGGACAGAGTAGTCTGAAACATATAAGTGGAGCTTTGTGGTCTCCATCAGTGTAAACACATCAGCCAGTCTGACCGTGGTATCTGGAACTTGAAAGTGAATGTAGCCTTGATGGTCATTAAACACCTGTGGATACCAGTATTAATTGCCTTATAAATAACCTTCAAACAAAAATAAACAGTTGCCATTTTTACTCAAACATAACAAAAACTTGGTTTCTAATAGCACAAAGCAGGCTACTGTAAACATTTTTTGACTATATACACTAACACACTAAAGAAAAGGAATATCTGTACTCAGTATTAAATACACTTGTGTCAAAGTAATATAACATCTGCAGGTTTGGATTTTAAGTGCCTCTATAGTAACACGCTTAAAAAACAGTGTGTTGAAAAAAAAAAATCATTTAAAGTTTAATGTCTTCAAACTCAGTCTAATAAAATAAATACTTCAGTGATGTAAAATATTTACATCAACCACTAATGGCTTGTAGTCATGACTAGTAAAATAACTTAAATGACAAAAGTTATCAATGTTAAACAAAGCACACTGAACAAAGAAATATTGTCTGATAACTACTGACTACTAAGCAATGACAAATTGGCCCAACCAAAAGCTCGCCATATTTTCTTTTTAATTTTCTCCCAAAAAGACTTCCCTAGATGATTACATTGTTCTCAACTCTTTGAACTGTCTGAAAAATGTTTTTTGTTTACAAAAAGATGAGTTCAAAATCTTTCATGATGTTTCTCGTCTGACAATTAACCAGCTTGATCTGGCCTGACACATATTCTAGCAATGATGCTCCTCATCTGACTTGATCAGCTTGATCTGGCCTGACACATATTCTAGCAATGATGTTCCTCATCTGACAATTATCCAGCTTGATCTGGCCTGACACATATTCTAGTAATGATGTTCCTCATCTGACAATTATCCAGCTTGATCTGGCCTGACACATATTCTAGCAATGATGTTCCTCATCTGACAATTATCCATTTTGATCTGGCCTTACACATATTCTAGCAATGATGTTTCGATTGATTAAACAAAAAAATTTACTGATATCTTCATTAGGCTTATAGCCATGGTGTGCAGTTGAGACTGACAATAAATTAAAAAGAAAACAAACATCAATTGGAGATTTTCTAAAAAACATTATTATATGATTTTGTCAGTTGATAGGGTGATTTTTTAGATTAGTTTCCAGTTTACTATTATAGATAAGTATTGAGCACAATAGGCTTTAAAACTATTGTTGACAGAGCTAATACTGTTGAGAGCAGTTCTAGAATTAGCCCTGTCTTTTTTTTTTAACTTAAGTTTTACAGTATCAATACTTAAACAAACTATACTAACATTTTAAAAATAATTATTTCAAAGGAAAATCACCTACTTTTGTACCAGGGAAATATTCCAAAATATAATCCACAACTGGTTCATTTGGTGCTATGGTTCCATCTGGCAAAGTCCCAAGCTGGACAATCAATGTGTAACCTTGACCAAATATGTTTTTCAAATGTTGAGGACTTCCAAGACACATAAATTTACCATTCACCATAATAGCAATACGAGTACAGAGAGCATCACATTCCTCCATACTGAGGCAATAAAAAGAGATTTGTTAGAATAAAGTAAAGAGAATTTCATATTCTTACATACTGAGGAAATACGAAGATAAAGTATAGAGAGAACATCACATTATTACATAATGAAGAAAAATAAACATATTCTAAGAATGGACATATTCTTCCATACTATTACGCTAAGTTATATTGATAGTTTTACAATCTACACTTCAATTTAAAGTCTGTAAAACTGAGTATTTCCTTTCTTGAAGTGATGTAAAAAAAAATTGGCTTCCATTCCATTATTTTTAAAAACATTAAATGTATTAACTTATTCTAAAAGTTCCAAATTTTTTTGTTAAATTTTCTTAATCCTTGAAAAATCTTTCCAGATAAATCAAATGTGTATAAAATTTCCCCCATTTCTGCTTTCAAAATTTGCATTCCATGAGGCAGATTATGTAATGGTCATTAGTTTATATGGCCAATGGTTAAAAAAGGTGTCAAGTGGCCTGCACAAGGACCAACTGCCTTTACTTTCCACAACTAATGTCAGGTACCCATAGGAGTTGGGTGAACTCAATGGCATCCTAAAAATCCAAAAAAACACACTCTTCACTAGGTTTACTTGTATGCAAAATGTTACTTTAAGGAACATTTTGCATGTTTATACAGATTCATAACAAGTACCAGTGAGAAGTTAAGACTAGTGTACGTCCTGAAGCTCTGACTTGAGATAAAACATTCCAAAGTTGTCTTCTAGCTTTAGGGTCCATACCAGCAGAAGGTTCATCTAACATAATGAATGGAGGGTCTCCGATAAGAGCTATTGCTGTGCTCAACTTTCTTTTGTTGCCTCCACTGGGAACAAAAAAAAAATCAATTACAAATTATTTATTGTCAAACATATTCCTGTAAAAAATATCACACTAATTTCGTATTTTTAAAGCAATTTTTTGTTTTCCTAAATTTTAATATGCCTTGCGACATTTCCGCTTCATTTAAGACAAGGTCTAAATAAAATACAAAAACAATCCTAATAGCATTAATATTAATAAGAAAAATCTTTTTTCGATAGAAATTCTTTTATTCAGAGAACAAAATACCAAGAAATGTTATAGGGGAATGTTGCATTCAATTGGGGCATTCTGGAAATGCTATTTTTTTAATTTTTTTTTTTACTCTAGGCCTGAAACTGATGGTATAAAGAACTCATGCTATAAGATTTAAATAAGGCCCATTTTAAATAAACAAAAAAAAACACCAAAAGACAAGCAAAATAAAAAATCCAACTAAAAAAAAATAAAGCCTATCTAATGGGGAAGAATTCAGTCCATAAAACTATATCTATTAATAATGTGCAAGTTATTTCCCTTATTTGATATCCAAAACTACAATACATAATTATTTAACGTATTAACTTGATCTCAGAATGCCTTAACAATTACTTAAGGGGACTAAACCCAATAAATGTAGCCATATCTGTGAATACTGAAGTATTAGTTTCCCTTGTTGCTATTAAACAAAAGAATTAATTACCAGTAATTAATTGTCTAATTGCTTACTTTTTTTTTATTGATTGATGTCTTGTCTATGTCAATGAATAATTGAGCGAAATTTCAGCATGATCCAAAACGGGTGTGGGAAAAAGAATATGAACACACTTTCCAGACAGACAGACAGACGATGTGAGTTGATATAAGCTTTGTAAAAAAAGGGTGTTTAAGCCATAATAAACAATATAAAGCCTGGACAAATTTCAATGGGCAGAACTGGTGTTCTGCTAGTACATAATAACATAACATGGGAATGCACATTTTAGTTTTCTAGAGGTTTTCTCAAAAAAAAAATAGTTCAATCATTAAATGTTGTTTAAAACTTATTTATAAGTAGGTTCAAATGTTTTCTTAAAATTACCTAAATTATAAAATAACATATTTAAACTGAAAATAGTTTTTTTAAGTAAGGTCCCCATTTTTCAAATTAAATGAGCCTATAAATATAAAACCCAACACAAAAAGAAAAACTAAGGCTGGATGCTTCTAAACTGTAACTTAGAAATAGTAAACAATTCCTCATCTAGCTTTGTAATGCTTTACAAATCTTTGAGACTAACTAAGGCAAAATACAGAGAGGAATGGAGAAAGACGGTCAACAAATCTTGCATGGTGCCTCAAAGGTCCAACAGACTAAGGCATAGGTAAAGGTAACATCTCATAAACAAGTAAAAAAAACATTGTGTTTAAAAACTATGTTAGGACAGACCAAGGTCTTTTCACTTGTCAAACAAAAACAAAAAAGCATCTAGGTAAAAAAGTAGTTTTGATGTCTCACCTATAAGCTCCTACCAGTTTGTTTTCATGTGGCCAAAACATTAAAAGGTCAATTAAATTGTTGACTACATTCGAGATATGTTTTTCTGGCACACCACGAAGTCTGGCATACATGTATAATGTTTCTCTTCCAGTCATCTGATCAATTAAAGCATCAAACTGAGGGCAGTAACCCATGTTGGCTTGGACCTAACAAGTAAAATGGAAGAGAGTAATGAAATCAAATCGAGCTGAAGACAGTTATCAGAGGACATAACAAGTACTAGCAGGGCCGGATTTAAGTATGTGGATGCCCAGAGGCAGGATTTTTGTGGAGGCCCCTACACTTTTTAATAAAGAAACAATTATGAATGAAAATACTGTTAACTAAAAACCATGCTCAATTTTAGAAAAACGTAATTGAGTACTTGTAAATTTAATCTCACTTTCATTTTAAAAAATATCTAATATGCCTATTTTAGTTTTAAAAAGTGTAATTTTTTTACTTTGTGGAGGTAAGGCCCTTGGTAGATGCACTGACATAAATCCGGAGATATATTTACTTATTCCGAGCATACTATACAAGGGTACACTTCTTAATCGTTTAATTTTTGCCATCTTTAAAAAACGGAAACAAAAAGGTTAGAAAAAAAACTTTAAAGTTTCTGTCAATCGAAATTCAAATATATTTTTATCTCTTTTGTGGAGGCTCCTTTCTTGTGGATGCCCCATGGTCTTAAATCCAGCCCTGAGTTTTAGTACTAAAGCCTGCTAAGTTTATCACCATCCTCTTAGTTTCTTATAATTAAATATGATTATTTTTAATAGCTTGATTTGTTTACTAAGTCAATTTTATCAACTGAGTATATCTTACGTTTCTAATATCACTCCTGATATCAAAACCTTTCAGGTAAGCATTTCCATCAGTCACCATCATGTCACCAGTCAACATTTTAAAAGTTGTGGTTTTCCCAGCACCATTCTGCCCCAACAGACCCAAACATTCCTGTTCAGGTACACCCAGACATATGTGATCTACTGCTATCAAGTTCCCATAGTGTTTGGTTAAGTTGACTAGAAGTAATGCATCTGGGAAGCAAACATTTAGA